AACGACGACAGAGCTTAATCTTATTGTCACCGCTATTAATGAACAACGCCCATAAAAAAGCAATTACGAATAACTATTCTAATTTTCCCTCCAAAATGCAAAACTAATCTTTCAAACGCATCACCGAAGCATTTAAAGCTTTTAGAAGATTGTTAGATTTTTCTGGTTTCCTGCCAATTTCTCGCTTTTTTCTTGTCATTTTTTCTCTTCGAAATGGATAAAAAAACGACACAATTCCGCTTTTTTCTACTATATATCATGCTTGGCATACAAGAATTTGTTTATATCCGCTCGGTAAAACCGTAATGATAAAAATTTCTCTTCGCCTTATCTAACTTTTACTTTCTTCTTTGAAATCAGCAACTAGAACAAAAACGGATATTCTAATGAATCACATTGAGAACAAGAAGAAATAAGGGAAGATTCCCCCAACCCCATGCATCCTTCCGTTCTTATCTGATTCATTAGCTTTATCGTGTTCTCGAAACCCATACGAATGAAATGGCGCTGAGATAAAACCCAAAAAGATTTCGAATTGGTTTGCTACTTTTTTTATATCACCAGCGCCTTTTTTTTTTTTTTTTTTTTTTTTTTTTTTTTTTCCTTCTTCTTCCAGATAAGAGTCGTTTTGGCTTCGAGCCACACGCTTTTTGTTCTTTTGCTTGTTCCTTTAATTTCCCGCCAAAACGGAGAGGCTGTGACGTCATTAGCGGAAGTCAAATATATCGGAAAGAGATTGGTAAACAGGAATGATTAACTGGTTAATGCGCCGCAGCAGAAGGAAAGACAGACCGGATTTAGAAATGAGTAATTTTTCTGTCTTGATTTATTAACCAGTTGCATGAACCTCATCTTTGCGAACGTCTAATGACGTGTGTTACTGATTGTAAGGAAAAGGGGAAAACTGTGACTTAAATATGATTAGTTCGGAATGAATCTAATCAACATCACAGAATGCAGTATAAGCCACAATTCGTATTTCTAATTACGTATATTTGAAGCTAAACATAAATGTTGACTTATAATACCATCGCAGATTTTAGTAATAAAATTGTAAGGTAAAATCTGCTTAATTATCTAACTGCGCTTGTTTAACATTCCTTTGAGACAATGGATTATTGTCTTCGTAAATAAATAAGAGGCAAACTAAATGCTTGCGATGCGGACATGAGGTAAAACTTAAATTAAAGGTTATTAAAGTAAAGGTTATAAAGGTTTATTAAAACTGACGTCTTGTATCGCAGCTATTAAAATACGCCAAACAGTAGCCGCGGCTATTCGCGAAATTTCTGGATTTCATATATTTAAATAAGGTAAAGGTAAAGTATGGGGGACACCAGCGATGTACCATAGGTCAACTGGTTATATTTAAATAAGGAGCATCATAAAATATAATTTAAATAAAAAATATCTTAATGTTTCTCGATTTTTACGATTTCCTAGAAGGGTTTATTAAGATTTCTCTTGATGAGCTCGGAGTCTACCAGTCTGCTGTTGCCCATACCTGTGCTAATATTTTTTTTAGCCCAAAGAGGCGTTATAATCCGATCAGAAGGGCTATTAGTCTCGAAGTGGCATTTTGTGTTAAATCACTTAAATGCGATGTATCACTTTTCAAACTGTTGCTATCAAATATTATCACCCTTTAAAGAAACTAAATAACGAAGCATTTGCATGAATTTGCATGAACATGGCCCTCCACCCGAACATGGGCACATTTATTACATGGGCACCTGGAAGGGCGAATCTTTAATTTTAAATATGTTTTATTATCTGTTTCATATTTTTTAAACTTAACGGATTTTTGATTAAGAAACTCAGCAATTTCAAAGCGAGCAGCAACAACACACTGTGCGAAATTATTTTTTTTTTTTTTTTTTTTTTTTTTTTTTAGCTCCAGCGCTCGAGACTGTCTATCGGAAATTCTAAAGATATGCTGTTTTTAAATGTTTTTAGCCCTAAGTGGCGTTAGCCCAAATGCTCTAGAAACGTGTATGTGTGTGTAAATGAAAACCAAAAGCCTCTTTGGGCATAGTATAAAATTTGAAAGCGTTTTTTTTTTTTTTTTACTTTTAATATTAAACATCGTTATCTTCGCACTTTTTTCCCCATTGTTTTCATCTTACTTACGCCATATACAATTAAATGGCAAAATCACAAAAATTCTAAAACTAGTATAACAACATATGTTTAAAATTCCGGATGCAATGTTAAGTGTTTAAGATGCTCTTTTCGCTTTTTGTATGTTAATGAAAAAGAATTAGATGTTGTTGTTGTTTTTATGAAACTATGTGCAATTATTTTATTAATAAAAGAAAATTCCATTGATCTAGGTTACTTATATCAGAGAGGAAAAACCCTTTTACTCTATTTCATTTATCTCAAACTGTTTCAAATCTCCAAATCTTGTCACTTAGTAAATGGCAATCGACCATTAACGGCCTTTACCAATATATGATACTTAACTTTTAAATGCTTGAAGAATCGAGTAAGTTGTATCCAATAATATGGAAGTACTTGTACACATGCTGTGCTAGACTCAGAGATACTAGCGACGGAGGCTCCTGTGCCGAAGTCCGTAGAATAAGTAAACTTTGAACAAATGAGGTGCTCGTGTGGCGCCATCTATTAGTAGGGATCAAAACATTTTAGTTCACTGGAGCTCTGGTTGCGCCATCTCTTGCAGGATGTATTGTAAGGCATTTTAAAATTTCATGAAAATTGTTCTTCTGATGAGCAATAATTGGTAAGTAAAATGATGAAAAACACAATTTGCAGTACATTGAAACGTTTCACAAAAGAGTAAAAACTATTTACACACAAAGTCTACCTGCTTTGGCAGGAACAAAGTTTAGTTATAAGATAATTAAGATATAATTATTAATAAGAAGAAAACTAAATTAAGATTGGTGATTATAAGATAATTAATATTATTAATTTACCATAATTAATTTTAATTAAGATAAGTTTTTACAGAATATTGAATGCCAATAACCGTGCGAATTGGCTTATGTGTCAAACGGGCTTAGGATAAATTGACAGTCGCTTACCTCATGGAATTAGCAACATCTGGAGGGGTTACGTGGATGGTAAACGCATGGTAGCATCACGTAACCAAATGAAGTTTTAAAATGGGAAGTTTATAATACAGATTTTTTAATTAAAAAAAAAAATTTCCTTTATTTTTATTAGTTTATGTTTTCAATAATTTCTACTTCACAGAATAAATAGCAGTATTATCTAAAATTATATATTTCGAATTTCTTCTTTAAAACATAGCTTTTACTTTCATAGGGAATCAAGTTTTGCATCTTTTACATTTGCTTGCAACAAATGGAGCAGCTATAATAATTATCGCAGCTTTTATATGTTTCAAGTCACTTTTTATTGTGTTAATAATAGCATGGGTTACTGTTCGCAATATCTGAATATCAATAGTTTAATTATAAAATCGACGACATTTGAGTGCGGTTAAGATTTCCTAAAATGAAAATTTTAATAATTATCACAGCTTTTATCTTTAGGTTCTTTTATTGTGTTAATATAGCAGTGGGTTACAGTTCAGCAAATCTGAATATCAATAGTTTATAAAATCGACGAATTTTGATGCAGTAAGTTAAATAAAATGAAAATGAATAATTATATATCTGTTTCCCAGTTTTGTTTCGGTACTTTAGAATTGAATTCAATAGGGTAATGATAAATTAAATTGACGTTAATTTAAATTACTTAAAAGAAAAAAATTTTAATAATATCAAGCTTTTATCGGTTTCAGGTTTACTTTTATTGTGTAATAGCATGGTTACGTTCAGAATATCTGAATATCAATAGTTTAATTATAAATGATACATTTGAGGCGTTAAGATTTATCTAAAATGAAAATTTTAATAATTATCAAGCTTGTATCTGTTTCAGGTTCTTTTATGGTTAATATAGCATGGTTTACGTTCAGAATATCTGAATATAATAGTTAATTAAAATCGATGACATTGAGTGCGTTAGATGAGCACTGAAAATTTATAATTATCACAGCTTTATCTGTTCAGGTTACTTTTGATTGGTAATAACAGCATGGTTTTACGTTAGAATATCTGATACAATAGTTTAATTATAAAATTGATGACATTTGAGTGCAGTTAAGATTATATAAATGAAAATTTTAATAATTATCACAGCTTTTATCTGTTTCAGGTTAATTTTTATTGTGTTAATAATAGCATGGGTTACTGTGAGATATCTGAAATCATAGTTAATTATAAAATGGGACGATGAGTGCAGTTAAGATTATCTAAAATGAAAATTTTAATAATTATCACAGCTTTTATCTGTTTCAGGTTACTTTTTATTGTGTTAATAATAGCATGGTTTACTGTTCAGAATATTTGAATATCATAACTAAAACAATAATTTCATAACTAAAACAATAGTTACAAAGAATGTCTCGCGAACTGGAGATAATTTTTTTCCCGTACAGTGTTGCCATGCTTGCTTTGAAATCGTTGAGTCTGTTAATCACAAATTCGTTGAAGTGTTACAAAATATGAAATCGATAATAAATATGAAATTTCAAATTCAAATCAGGGCTTCAGCAAGCCCATATTCTATGAAAGATTATTCGCTCGAAAGATAGAACGTTATTCAAATTTTGATGGCGCTAGGTACCGTTGTTTTATCACATTTCGAGAAACATACATAAATTCGTGCAAATTCTTCATTATTTAATTTTTTGAAATATAATACAGGGCTAACATTTGGTGGTAACAATTTGAAAAGTGATTCGCCTTTTATAGTTTTCAATGCAAAATGCCAAAACGAAATTAATAGTCTTTGTGGGCAAATTGCTTCTTTGGACTAATAATAGAATGTAAGAAATAAAATTTATTAAAACTCTAAAAGTAATAATCTGTTGGCCTAACACGTTTGCTATTTCCCTCTCGTTCACATGAATATTTAAATATTTCTTTTTTTTTTTTTTTTTTTTTTTTTTTTTTTTTTTTCAGAATCTTAATCGGATTCAGAGTATTCGGCATCTGATGCTAGGTAGGAGTATCGTTTCCCATTGGTGGAGAGACAAGTTACTAAGGGCCTCCCTTCTCCTGTCTGTGGCCGCTCTCGCCGTTTATCTTAGATGCAAACTTATGGGCCCCAAGTTGCCCGTCTTCAGCAGGTAAGCATAAATTATGTGGCTTTGGGATGAAATTTAATGTTCTTGGGAAAAAAGTATCGTACACGACTTTTAAGCATTTTAACCCTTTGTTGCATCATGTTCACTCTAGTAGACAAAAGTTTAAATTTGTTTATTCGTCTGTAAATGCCTTAACAGATTCCATTCCTGTGTTTATTCATTCTATATTATTAGAACTTTCAACTGTCGATCATAGATTGCTGTATAGCATCACTAAGTAAACCATTGCTATTTGGAAAATGGCTGCTACGATAAAAGTTTCAAGAGACAATATATAACATGCTTATACAGGGCCATTTTTTATTATAATTTAAGTTTTATTTAAAACGGACTTTGAGAAAATTGTGGATGTGGTAGATAAATATCTACCAAAAGATGAAATGAAACCCAAATGTACTGCTTAAGCACCAAAACACCACTGTATGTTTCGCAGGCAACTTTTTCTAGAAGGTACACATGTCGTCAAATATTCATGTTACAAAATCGAGTAGTACTCAAACAAACACAATCGAAGAAATGGAGGTTTACGTCGTGGGAGAGATAGTAGATTCGTAATGCATGCAAACGAAAAAGGTCAATAAGTCGTTAAAATGATTGTTTTTTATATATCTGTTACTAGCGAACAATTTCATTATTACAAAAATTTAAAATTATCTTCTCAGATTATAGGTTTGTATGCAGACCTGGTATGCAACAAAGAGTTAAATTATTAGAAACGTCTTATGTTAATTTAAACACGATATAAAGATTTTAAGCAAAGAGTGGTCATAAAAATCCTTCTCTGAAACATGAGCCTCTAGCGGCCTATCCGCTCAGCCAATCAAAATGAAATTTCAGATATTGTCATTGAAAGGTACATCCTCGAGGTTGCCGTGATTTAAAACAATAGAGTTGGCATGGTTACGATTACAATGTAAATGTTTCGAAATTTTCGAATGGCAAAGCCCATTTCTCTGATCAAATTCCCCCCTGGTGTCGACCAGGAGTAATCTCCAGTGTTTTAGCTAAGACCTGTACTTAGATAAACTCGGCTCCTGGGGCAAAGAATCTCTAAGGAGAAGAAGTAAAGGTTCCCCGGGGCAAATGTGGCTCCGTCAGACCGAAGAGACACATTATGTATATCCCTGAAGCTTACTTTAAAGGGGCAAACCATTCCAAAGCTATCCACCCTCCGTACCTCACTGCTCATGTGCGAAATAACATCAGGAGGCAACAAAGCAGCATCAAAGAATGCAGCATGCCGTCGGCCATGTTAGCAATCTTTTACCACGTGTTCGAAAACGTTCTTTGTTGTTGTATCAAGGTACTTGGTTTTAGCTATGTGAAATTCTTTTAAAGACTTTTTAAATGTAATGCTGTAAGTGAAAATGGTTTTGGCTATTGGGTGAAAACTTTGCTCTTGGTTTTCACATGGTCATTCCAAAATAATGTCTAAACGTTTTCATGGTAATTTTTTTTAAAGTGTTGTCGGATAATTATAATGTATTTCAGTGTTTTCAATTTTTAGGGGTGCCTTTAATTGTCTTTAATATTTTTTTTTCTGTTTCAGTCAGTTTATTGCAAATTTTGCTTTTAAAAATCACTGTAAAATTTTAACTATGGATCCATAAAAATTATTACGTTTTGTATTGGCATGGTTTTTCCCCCTTTTTTAAGTTTACAGAAGAAAAAGAATTAAGAAATTTATTTCATTTAAATTTTGTCTTCGTACAGGCTCGCTGTTTAAATTGAAAGTAAAAAAGGACAGGATTTCTATAATTCGCCCCAAATTCCAACTAACATATTTTGCTCATAAAACTCCAGAAATGTATGAAAATAACATTTTAAGTTATTTTCAAAGTAAAAATTTACTATCTCCTCGAATTGCGCTGTTTAATTTCACCCTGCGCTGGGTGTTCACTAGCCGTGGCTTCTTCGGTACAGCGGCGCAGAGGCGGAACAGGTTTACATTGCGTCTATGGAAGCTTTCGTTCTTCTCCTTAGAGATTCTTTGCCTGGGGTATATAATCAGTCTTGACAGTGACTAGAACCATTTACAATTCGGTGGTCCCTTCAGGTGCACTGTAATGGCACTGTCAAGTATGTCTAGGGTTGTGGATCGCTGCATGGTGATATTATATAAATGACGTATTATCACCATGCAGTCTTTTATATTATCATATGGTGATAATATAAAGGTAGATCTTTCCCCTTGGGGGTTCTCCTCCGTTGGTCGGCTCAGGGGAACTGTGTTAAACGTTGTCTTTGATTTGGGCGGCCAGCGTTACTTCGTCGCTCTGTCTTGCGTACATACAAACCTGACCTTCTTCTTTGTCTCCCGAGGTTGATCATTAGAGGTTTGTGCCTCATGGATCGCCTCTAGAGGCTGAGGCATTATATACCATGTTAGGTGCTCTCGATAGCCTAGGTCAAGGAGTCTTTTCTCTCTAGTACACTAGACACTCTAGCTCACTTTCACATCTCTTTAGTCCAGCATCCAAGTGCACGTTTCATTGAATTTAAATATAGATTATTTATTGGCATACTCGCGCTTATGCGTATGATTATACAGCGTATCCATTTAGCTAAATTGTGGCTATAGACTCAAACTATACCTCCTGATTTGTCTACAATATTTTACACAGAAAATGGCCTCCCTTGTTTTCTTCCTTCTACTGTCTTCCCACCTCGTCATAGTTTTAAAGAGTCATACTCTCAAGTAGATTCGGGTCATGCTCCTAACTAGATTTGCGCAGTGAACTGTCCAAATTGATCAACGCACTGAAAAACACATTAATGGCGTGGGAAGGATACATGAATGTCGAAAATTTCCGGCGAAAAATCTTTGCAAAGAAGAGCATTGTAAAGGATTTCCTTAATCTCATTGTTATCACCTGAACACAGGCTTCTCTTTTGTCATTTGCTCTTCTGCAGCTGAACAAGAAGGCTCTTTACCTCCAAAACTACTCTAAACTTGCAAATTTATGAAAATTATACTGATTCTTGTTGCCAAAATACCTCCAATAATTTTTATTCTGTGTGCTATTTTAACTCATGTGTTCTAAATATTGGCTGTTCCAATACCGTTCAAATTACGGCAGGTGATTTTGATTGCTTGATTTTTATCATGTTTAGTATGATTACGTGATATCTTCCCGTTTAAAGTCTATTATAAATTCATTCCTTCCCTTAATAAGTATTCTTCATGAGTTTTGCCATAATCAAGTGAACAAATAGTTAGTGGACTTAGTAAACCAACAGTGGAAGATATATTTTACATCATGTGGTTGATTCTATTCTTCTGCAGTAAGAATATTTTGTTTTTTCTTTCAGATTTGACAATCCAGCTGCAGTTTCTGCCACACCTGTTCGGCAGCTGACTTATAATTTCCTTCTTGCGGTTAATGCCTGGCTTCTTCTTTTCCCTTGTCACCTCTGCTGTGACTGGACCATGTCCACTGTGCCGTTGGTCACATGCCTTTGGGACATCCGAAACCTGGGTACAGTCTTTTTGTACGGTGGAATTCTGTGGATCCTTCGAAGCATCACCAAGCTTGAAGAAGAAGCTAGAATGGCTATCATTATGGTATGTTTGTTTACTTAATAAGAACAATACATCAAGCTTGTCTACGCGTTTCTTTAATACCTAAAAGCTGATCAGTGTTCTGAAATCTTTTTATGTCGAATTGCTGTAAACCTAAGAGACTTTTACCATTAACTTATTTTGCTTCTATATAACTATTAAGATAATGTTTTGGGTACTTATCATAATGTTTGTTAAATACTCATGCAAAATTTAAAGAGAGTTATCACTATAAACGTAAAATAGATGGTATACATAGAAAGGAGTTCAGTGTCTATGCTTCATCTCATGATAAAGTACTTCAGCGATTAGTATTTCGTATCAGCGCATTGCCATTCCACGTTTTCGAACTTCTACTCAAAATGAATCTAACGATGATTTCTCGGTGTATTAAGCAGTAGCAGTAGTAGTCCGAACGATTATTCAATTTCAATATCATTTCATCGATTCCTTGCTCTTAATGACTTTCCGATACAGTCGGAGAACGATATCGATTACTAATATCGTTCCTGAGCGATAATAGCCTCGAACCGAGGTACAGCCATATATATTCAGCCTCGATTTTTTGGTTCAACGTTTTCTGGCTCGCCGCTTTCGGAGCAACTGGTACAAATGATGTAAGTGAAGATGAATGAATTTTTTTACAGACTTCCAAATAAGTTTTGTGTCACTCTAATTAACATGTTGCCACAAAAGGACTTCGACAACGATTTCTAGCCTCATCGCTCATCATGGCGATACCAAATGTAACCGCATGTGGAAATAACCAAAGGTAATTACAGAGTTCTGAGCTTGCCTCTGAAAAATGCAGGAGATAAGGAATGATATATGCATTGAGAAAATTCACTTTTCACTGATAACATTAATTTTCCTGATATCATTGACTTTTCATTCAATTTACATATAGGTTATTAATGGCCATATTAGCCCTTATGCATATAATTACATGCTTATCCATTTAGTTAAACTGTGGCTATACAATCAAACTTTGTCTCATGATTTGTCTGGAATAATTTACAGACAGAACGGTCTTAATCAAGAATTTCAAGAATCTTCACTCAAGAATTTCGAATTCAATCAAGAACATTTTCGAGAATTATCAATTCTGATGAATGGATATTTCATTTCGAAGAGAAAGGTCTCATGTTTCTCAATTTGAAAAAAAAAAAAAAAAAAAAAAAAAAAATGGCTGACAGCTTTGTTGCATAGAAAGTTGGCGGACTACAGTTTTCCTCTCTACGGTTCCTTTCATTACCGGAAACGGCTTGTTCTGAGGATGAGTTCAACTGATATTTCTAAGATTGATACCTATCTGTTAATTACTCGCATATTCATGGAAATTAGAAGCCCATATAATACGCTTGAGCTGCAGAAACTTTTCCAAAGTACAACAGCATGAACATGTGTATTTTGAAACAACTTAAATAAACGCATACAG